TCTATCTATCTATCTATCTATCTATCTATCTATCTATCTATCTATCTGTCTATCTGTCTATCTGTCTATCTGTCTGTCTGTCTGTCTGTCTGTCTGTCCTTTATATCCACAAAGCGTTTGTGTCTAATAAAATACTGCTTAAGATAACATTTCATTTTTACTATTCTTATTCCACAGTTATATACTAATTGGTGTGCTCTTAAGACAAAACAGAACTCCTACATCATTTTACTGTGATTGTCATGAATAATAAGCTGTTTAGATAACTGACCCTTTTTATTATAAATGACTACAGACATTAGAAGGAAAGGATAAAAGTGAATATTCAATTAAATACAAGATTATTAAGTAATTTTAGGTGCCTGAAAGATTTTCTTTTGTGTTAGAGGACAAGCAGAGATGTGGTGGTTTTTAGATGTCTTGTGGGGCTGTATTTCAAGTCCTTTTTGTTTGATGCTTTTGTCTTGTTCCCTGTGAAATGCCTTCAATTTGCATATTATTTCTTAGTTGCTGCAGATATCTTGTCAGTCTCAATATTCTTAAGAAGAATGATTGCAGTGTTTTAATAATGAGGATAATCATAACAAGGATGAAGGCATGTTTTGAGAGGTTTTCTGAACAATTTGTTGTGGCCTCAGCCAGAATATTTTAAAGTACATACAGTGCATCCGGAAAGTATTCACAGCGCTTCACTTTTTCCACATTTTGTTATGTTACAGCCTTTTTCCAAATTGTATTAATTTCTTTCCTCAGAATTTTACACACAATACCCCATTATGACAATGTGAAAGAAATATTTTTTGAGAGTTTTGCAAATTTATTAAAAATAGAATATTAAAAAATCACATTTACTGTAGGTAAGTATTCACTGCCTTTGCCATGAAGCTCAAAATTGAGCTCAGATGAATACTGTCTCCACTGATCATCCTTGAGATGTTTCTACAACTTAAATGGAGTCCATGGTAAATTCAGTTGATTGGACCAACAAAGCCCATGCTCAATAATCCAGGTATACAATCCAACAATTTTCAGTCAAGTCATCTGGACAGATGACCTGACTGAAAATTGTTGGATCAGTTGATTGGACTTGATTTGGAAAGGCACACACCTGTGTATAGAAGGTCCCACAGTTGACAGTGTATGTCAGAGCACAAACACCAAGCATGAAGTTAAAGGAACTGTCTGTAGACCTCAGAGACAGGACTGTGTTGAGGCACAAATCAGGGGAAGGATACAGACATATTTCTGCTGCTTTGAATGTCCCAATGAGCCCAGTGGCCTCCATCATTCGTAAATGGAAGAAGTTTGGAACCCCCAGGACTCTTCCTAGAGCTGGCTGGCCATCCATCTAAACTGAACAATTGGGGAGCAGGTCCTTAGTCAGGGAGGTGACTAAGAACCTGATTGTCACTCTGTCAGAGCTCCAGTGTTCCTATGTGGAGAGAGAAGAACCTTCCATAAGTACAACAATTTCTGCAGCAATCCACCAATCAGGCCTGTATGGTAAGGTCGCCAGATGAAAGCCACTCATGAAAGGCATATGGCAGCCCATCTGGAGTTTGCCAAAAGACACCTGAAGGACTCAGACCAGGAGAAACTAAATTATCTGGTCTGATGAGACAATGATTGAAAGGTTTGGTGTGAATGCCAGCCATCATGTTTGGAGGAAAGCAGGCACTGCTCATCACAAGGGGCCAACACCATCCCTACCGTGAAGCACGGTGGTGGCAGCATCATGCTATGGGGATGTTTTTCAGCAGCAGGAACTGACCTACTAGTCAGGATAGAGGGAAAGATGAATGCAGCAATGAACAGAGACATCCTGGATGAAAACCTGTTCCAGAGCGCTCTTGACCTCAGACTGGGGTGATGGTTAATTTTTCAGCAGAACTACCCAAAGCACACGGCCAAGATCTCAAAGGAGTGGCTTCAGGACCACTCTGTTAATGTCCTGGAGGGGCCAAGCCAGAGTCCAGACTTGAATCTGATTGAACATCTCTGGAGATATCTGAAAATGGCTGCACAGACGTCTAACCATCCAACCTGATGGAGCTTGACAAGTATGGGGTAAATCTGCCTGAAGAGAGGTGTGCTAAGCTTGTGGTATCATAAAAAGACTGGAGGCTGTAATTGCTGCCAAAGGTGGATCAACAAAGTATTAAGCAAAGGCTGTGAATACTTTCATAAATGTTATTTCTTAGTTTTCTATTTTTAACAAATTTTCAGAACATTTTGCAGAACATTTTTTCATATAGTTTTAATGGAGTATTGTGTGCAGAATTTTGAGGCAGGAGATTCATTGAATACAATTTGGAATAAGGCTGTAACATACCAAAATGTGGACAAAGTGAAGCACTGTGAGTACTTTCCAGATGCACAGTATGTTATTCAAGCCACTCATCAGTGAAATGGGTGCTGAGGTGGTGACCTTCATTGATTTTATTAGCTTTTACTCGTAATCTTAGATAACAAACTTCCCATTAAAAGCATAAATGCTCCTCAGTGTGTTATTGAATGAGGTAGCCACTGGCCTTTCTGTATGTAAAAGGCATAGAGCAATCTTTTCACAGCTTCAATGACAATCACCTACTCAAATGGGCTTTTGTAAAAGCTTTGAAGTGTCAAGGGATATAACAGTTTTCTTTGTGCCTGATTGACACCAACTTTGACTTTACTTTTAAAATGAGGGAATATAGATAATTTTCTCTTGTTAAATGAGGGAATATAGATAATTTTCTCTTGCTAAATGAGGGAATATAGATAATTTTCTCTTGTTAAATGAGGGAATATAGATAATTTTCTCTTGTTAAATGAGGGAATATAGATAATTTTCTCTTGTTAACTGAATGAGGCTTTACTGAGTGAGGCTTAATGACAATGGGTTTCAATTATTTACCATTCAAGATGCTGTCTATATTGAATAAGTGTTGACTGCCAGAGCATGACCACTACCCACTGGATTAGCCTCAGAGTTTTGCGCCCTGTTGCAATCAATGCTAAAAAAAATAAAAATTGTTACTGCTATTTTATGAGACAAGCTATGATTTCACCCAAACTCACCTTTGTGTAAACTGGGCCTTACTATTTAAAATTTTGTGTTACCATACATTTAATTTGGAATTTTAGGTATCAGTAAATATTAAAATGATCTGTTCCATACCAGAGCCTAAACGGATATTTTTACAGTACAAAATTATTGTGCACACATGAGACATTTGACTGTAATTAAAAAAAAAGAAGCTACATTTTGGATCAGCTTGTGGAAAAACAGTCTTACTGCTTTTATTGGAATAAAGGAGGTAATTAGCAGCCAGGGGCTGCTAATCAAACATGCTTCATTAACTAATCAGGAAGTGGACTCGTATTTTTTAAAGAACTCCTGGCACTTCTCTGGTCTGGCACGTTCACCTGTGCTTTAACAAAATGCCAAAGAGGAAATATTTCACCAAAGATTTTTGAGATATGATTGTTGCTGCGATCTGGGAAGAGTTATAATGCCATTCCTTAAAGTCTGGAGTCCATCATTCTACAGTGACAAAAATATCCACAAGTAAAAACATTCATGACAGCTGTCAATCTTCTCTGGAGCTGACTAAGTTCATCTTCAAACTAGCTAATGCTCAGAGTAATTGCAAAATACTTAACAAGCAGATCAGATTTTAGTAGCCTCAGTTGGCATATGTAAATTCAAAACTGTACAATTAAAGGGGGTGGGGGGGTGCTTCCTGGAAGTGCTGCCAGGAAAACATTTTGCCTACAAAGCTGTGGTTTGCAGAGTTGTCCCTAATCAAATTACAAGACTTCTTGGACAATGTTGTTTGATGAAAACCAGATGCAGCACAAACAGCACATGTTCAAATGCAGTATTGAAGAGTTTATGGTTATTTTTACAACTACAAAAGATGAGCAGGTTGAAGTTCTTAAATGAAACACAGACACTTGTTTACCAAAGTTTTATAGAGTCACATCTAGATACATGCTCAAAAATTCATGTAGATAAATCTATCAGGGTTGAGTCAGGTCCTCTGGACAGGTTTTTCTTAAGAAGAACCTCCTTGTAAGATTTTCTAGAATAGAAATCTACAGGTCTCACTTGTAAACGAGTCCTTGTGACTCAGTGAAACTAACCTGAGACTAACCTGTGTAAATAAAGGTTGAATGAATGAATAGACTCCGTTGTGAGGCCATCTGTTGGACAGCTGAAACTTAACCCTAAATGAGCCAATCAACAAAACACTAATTCATACCATAGTAGCAAAACTACAACAAAGTGACTGAAAACAAGGTTTAAGTTTTTACTCTCATTTGCAAAACATGTGGTACATGAGGTGGAACAAAACTGCGTACTCAAGGTCCCAGTTACAAACAAAAAATAGCAAAAATATAAAGTATAAAAAGAAACAGTATACAAGGATCTAAGATATATGAGAAAAATCATTCATGTAAAATAATACGGTATATTAAACAGTGGCCTGAATATGAGTCTGAAAACAAAAGATTTGCAGTGTTACAGTGGGTTAAGGATCAGAATTTGGTATGGCTTTAATTGTACATTGAGACTTTGTATGCATGAACAAATATTAGCAAACACTGATCAATCTATGAGTCTTTGCAACCAAAGGTGGACCCAGTTCCCTCCAGACCAATGAGAATGGCTAATGAGGTCGTAAAACACTTAATTATTTTTAGTCATAGCTGTTTAAGTTGGTTCCACAAGATGTTAAATCACTGAGTCTTTGTTTATCCACTCTCATTCTGCTTACTGGCCTGTCCATTCATCCAGCCATTATCTTTACCCGCTTCTCCCTTTTCGGTTTACGGGGGGTCCCTGGTGCCCATA